TAGAAATGGAAGCAGCACTGATTATGAGACTGAATCCATTCTTGAATACAAGGGGAAAAAACAGAAAGACTCGAAAAAACCGAAGACGAAGAAGGAGAAAGAGGAAGAAAAATGAAACAATGAGGTGAATCAGAACATACCTGTTTTGTTTAAATCGGTTCGATTGGGTTACACTACGAAGTTAACATCAATACTTCAACCGAAAGCAATGATTCACTGCACAGTTGAAAAACTATGGAATAAAAAATGGGCAGTAATTAAACGAACATTTGGATCAACAATTGTGGAAATTGACAACACAAAGTTCCAACTAAAAAAATCCAAAAAACGAATCGAAAATGGATGTACCTTCTATGTGATCCAACTGGTGCATACGGGACCGAAAACAAACAAACGTAAAAATATTTTGATTAACTGCTTGAGGACACCATGGAGACGGAGGGAACTGTATAAATTATCGTTAGATGATATACTGATTCTTCTGTCAAAGGTGGAATCGATTACCGGAAAGAAGCAAAGACAAATAATTAAAGACATCTTCACACGAATTTCAAAGAAGAAGTTTGCATTCAATATCAAGAGAAGGCTGATATTTAAAATTTCATTTGATGCATGCATTAATCTGAAGCAAGTGAGAAACACAACAACCAAGTCTATCTTGGAAAACGTAAGTAATAACAATTTGGCAAACGATTTGACAGCTCGGATGCGTGTGATGTTTAAAAAATCAAAGACAGTCGGGGAAATATTACACAATCACAGACAGGTGCTTACACAAGCACCGGACTGTAATTGTGCAGTATCCCGACTTCCAAAAATTGAGAACCACATTGCCTGCAGATTAAGTGAAATCACAGAAAATCAGCTCTTGTGGAATGCAAAAAACGTACCCCATTTGAACGAAAGAATTGGAAAGGAAAAAATTAAAAGGACAATTATCACTACCATTGCAAGTATACCACGACCACTAAGGACGAAAAGAAAAATTAAAATAAATGTTTCTACTTGCATCGAAAAAAAGAATGATATCGAGATTTTTCTTCGCATATCAGCAGTATGAGAATTAAAAAGAAGATTGACACAATGTATCATATCACCATTGGACATAAATCCAGAAGAAACTTTTGTGGAATGCCGTAAAATCTGGTACGAGAAGACTCGAAAATTCTTTCCGGAATCGAATCACTACGAAATTATACAACAAACGGAATCTGAGATCACTCAATTGGCCAAAAATACGTATCATGGATGTGGGTTGAAGAAAATCACAGAATAGGATGAACAGGGATCATACGGAAATGCGTATACGATTCCAAAAAACAAGGACGTCACCAGAGGCCGACCAATTGTGTCGACATATAAGGAGTGATCTCGGAAAGCATCGAAGGTACTATCAAGAACTATCAACTTCATGTCGAGCCAACTACTATCTAGAGTGAAGAAATGCAATCAAGTAACAAAAGAAACATACGGGGATATGACTACAATAATCTGTTCCACATACGACGTCAAAGATATGTTTTCGAATCTCGATCACACACAGATCTTAAACGTCATGCAATGGATGATGAAAACGGCGAAAGAAAAACGGAAAACTCACTTGTGTTACAAGATGAGAGGAAAGTACATGAACTTTGAAAAAGCAAACGGAATCTATAGATGGAGAACATTAAAAATTGAGTGCCTAATGGATCTGTTGTACTATGACATCAAACACGCATACTTCAAACTTCAAAGTACAAGGAACATTATTATGCCAAGTAATGGGGATACCAATGGGGAAAGGTTCTAGCCCACCCATTACCAACATGGTATGCGCGTTCGACGAGTACAGATGGTGTGCGTAAAATGGAATTGATGAGAAACTTATCCACGGTATGAGTTTTGTGGACGATGTAATGATGATCATAATAGCAAGTAAGGAAGATCAAACGAAAAAGTTGGAATGTCTGAAATCTTTTCAAACATGCTACCACCAATATTTAAAACTTGAAATCACATCAGACAACGCGAACACAGAATGAACATATCTGGAAACAAGGGTGGCGAAATCAATCAACGAACAAAATCATAAGATATGATGAAAGTAGTTCCAGATTGAAGACATGTTGGAAATCGACGACAACAAGGACAACACAGAGAGCGACTGCGGAAGATCCTGAGGATAGATGATGAGTACACTGCAAGGATAGGGAAAGTGGCGGAGAAGGACTGGGAACAAAGGGTATAAATACTGATGATAGTGGCTGAAATGATTACCTGAGCAGTGAGGTAGAAGGGTAATCGCGACTGGTGGCGCATGCCATGAATATTACGTGTATGTTGTGAAAGTAAAACCTCTCACGTTCTATCTACATTTGCATGTGTTTATCTTTCTCTCCCCCGGTTGGAAGTGAACCCCAAAAAGAAGTGGGGAGCGTTGGACCGGACCCCGGGTAGAAGCGGACCCCAAAAAGAAGCGAGGGCATGCGAACTGCAAAAAGGCCCTCAGGCCCAGGCATTGAGCCCCGTCTTCTCAAAACAGGGAGGTCAGGCACAACGAAATAGGCGTTTTGCAAGMGGCAACTTTKACGATTTTCTGTGCTCGAACGAACATGCACAAAAATCTGAAATTTTGAGAATCCATAGATGAGGTCGTGTTCTTTCCATAAATAATAATAGAACATTTTTAAAAAATCATTTACACTGCAAAATAATTGTTGCACCGATTCGGCATATTTTCCATTTTTGCTACTCGGCCATGCCTGGGCCAATAAATTAAAAAAAATCATTCCAACTGCAAAATAGATCGCGTCGCAATTTGACCCATATTTAATTTTGCCATTCAGTCTCTCTCTCTCTCTCTCTCTCTCTCTCTCTCTCTCTCTTTCTCTCTTTCTCTCTCTCTCTGGTAAGCCCCCCCCTCCCTCTCTCTCTATTTCTTTTTCTCTCTCACACTCATAGCAATAAATGGAACAAAACTCTCTCTCTCTMTCTCTCTCTCTCTCTCTCTCTCTCTCTCTCTCTCTCTCTCTCTCTCTTGTGTTCGCAGCCCTAAGGTTGCGGTCTAGTGGGGTTCCGCGTCTGTGTCAAGGTGTCGCATTTCGGCGGCGGACGACCAAGACGCAAAGTGGGTTGTTAGGGGGAAAAAAAAATTGCGGGACCAGTCCTTGACGAAATTGCAGACTACCTACAGCTAGCTCGGGTAGAACCGGGACTTTTGGAGAACGGAAGGACCGGTCCTCGGGTGAAAGTGGACCCCAAAAAGAAGGGGGGGGCGTGGGACCGGTCCCCGGGTAGAAGCGGACCCCAAAAAGAAGTGAGGGCATGTGAACTGCAAAAGGGCCCTCAGGCCCAGGCATTGAGCCCCGTTTTCTCAAAACAGGGAGGTCAGGCACAACGAAATAGGCGTTTTGCAAGAGGTAACTTTGTCGATTTTTTGTGCTCGGACAAACATGCACAAAAGTCTGAAATTTTGAGAATCCATAGATGAGATCGTGTTCTTTCCATAAATAATAATAGAACATCCACAAAAAATTATTTACACTGCGAAATAATTGTCGCGCCGATTCGACACATTTTCCATTTTTGGCACTCAGCCATGCCTGGGCCAACTAAAAAAGTACTCCAAATTCAGTCAGCTTTCACGCTAAAAAGAATGCGTGAAAAAACCTGAAAATTGGAGTACTCGTAAATTTTGTTGTGATCTTTCCAGGAAAAACGCTAAATAAATTTAAAACAATCATTCCAACTGCAAAATAGATCGCGGCCGGAATTCGACCCATATTTCAATTTTGCCATTCAGTCTCTCTCTCTCTCTCTCTCTCTCTCTCTCTCTCTCTTTGTCAGGTAGCCCGCCCCCCTCCCTCTCTGTCTATTTCTTTCTCTCTCTCACTCTCATAACAATAAATGGAACAAAACTCTCTCTCTCTCTCTCCTTCTCCCTCTCTCTCTCTCTGTCTCTCTGTCTCTCTCTGTCTCTCTGTCTCTCTGTCTCTCTCTCTCTCTCTCTCTCTCTGTCTCTCTGTCTCTCTCTGTCTCTCTGTCTCTGTCTCTCTCTCTCTCTCTGTGTCTCTCTCTCTCGTGTTAGCTCTTAGTCTCATTGATTTGGCTACCTTAGGGCTGCGTTCCCCGCGCCCACGCGGTAGACAATAGTACATACGCGCGTGTTGTTCGGGGGAAGACTGTAGTTTCAGCCGCGCGCTACTCCGGCCATCTTCAGGGGTCTTTCTCGTTGCCGCGAAGGGTGAAAAGGGTAAGAGGGGGCTTGCTTCAGGGAATTCACCATTCCCTGCCCTAGGACGGGAAGGAGCATTTTCGAAACCGATGGCGGGGTCCCTGGACCGGCCGTCGCTCCGGCATTGTTATCGGGAACGATTTTGGGTCCTGTTTGTGGGTCAAATTGTGGCAGTGGTCCCCACTGGCGCGCCCAAACTGGCCGACAGAAAGCCGCCTGGCCGCTGGTAAGGCGGGCAGGAAGATTTTCGCATTTTCGTTTTGGTGCGCGTTTTGCGGTTTTCTTTTTCGTGCCCGCGCGCTGCTGGCCGATGCCTCCCGCCCTCCCGCCCTCCCGCCCGCCTTTCCTTTCGGTGGATGTGCAAACGGACCGAAGGTTTAGAGAGGAGGGCAAAGGAATAAAACCCAGTGAGACGACGGCACGGTAGGTAAGGCAGTCGTTGGACCGGGCGAGAAGGTGCGAAGGAGAGTCTCTTACGCCCGTAGATTCGAAGGATGAACGGCTAGAATGATGTGGTGGGAGTCGTGGAGCAACCACCTGCTCTCCCATCGCCTCACCTACTCGACTGTTGTGTACCGAGGTAGCGAGGAGGCAGTCGGGCCAAAACTCGACGACACCACAAACGCACGCATTCACAGCATTTTTTGGTTGGCAGTTCTTTTCAGGGTATATACCTCTTACACCGAAATTCCATACCTCGCTTTCACCCATAGGGCCCCTAATAACCCTCTTTATGTTTTTGCCCCATTACAGAGAGGATTAACTGAACGACTAAGGGATTACGGGCCGTCTGGATTCCAGAGAGGAGGCCTCTCCCTGCTATTGAGGTTTTACGCCGTTTTCTTGCTGTTTCACACTTGCGTTGACGTTGGTTTGAACCACTCTCCTTGTCAGCCATCTCCATCGCTTCATTTCTCCCTCCCTTGGCATCTTGTACTGCTTGTGTGTGTGTGTGTGTGTGTGTGTGAGAGAGAGAGAGAGAGAGAGAGAGAGAGGGCTGGTGGGGTTTCCGAGGCCAGGCGACGACGGAGGTGCGTCACGGGCTGGAGTGACGGTGAGCGAATCTGAGGGAGAAGGAAAAGCAGGAGAAGAAGGAGAAAGCGAGGGAACAGGGGGGCCGGGAGGGAAAGGACGAGGAGGAGGTGCAAAAGGGAGGGGAGGAGGAAGAGCTGAACGAGAACTGACAAAGGTGGCAAGGAAGGCGAAGTGGGAGGAAGGGGGGAGGAAGAAGGGAAAGGGGAGGGGTAAAGTGTGGAAGGGAGAAACGAGAGGAGGAGAACGAGGATCAAGAGGAAGGGGAGGAGGAGAACGCGGAGCAAAAGTAGGTGGAGGAGGAGAACGAGGTGCAAGAGGAGCAGGAGGAGGATCCTGTTCTCTATCCCATTCCAGAACTGTCTCATCATCATTTCATCATATATTCGTCGCTGTGGGTTGTGGTTGGCTGTGACTGTGACGGAGAGCGAGGTAGCGGCATATGACTTGCCACCGATCAACATTATTCACGCATGATTGCCTACGGGAGTTGGCCGTCTTTTCGGGTGAGAGGCGGCGGTGACTGCCCAGGAGTGGCAGGAAGAGGCGAAGTAGAAAGGGAGAGGGAGGGGAAGAAGGCGGGAGGAGCTAAGGCGGTCGGAGGCATGCAGCGTCCGGTCAACAGTCTTCATCGCCAACCTTTAGTCGAAAAAGAAGAAGCGAAGTACCTCCTTTCTGTCAGTCCTGTCCTCTGAGGTTGAAAAGGAGGACGGGAGTGGGAGGGGGAGGGAAGAGAAGGAAGGGCTGGTCGTCGTCGGTTTACCTTCCGCTTTGAAGGGAGAGGGAGGGGTTGAGGAGGGGCGCTGGACTGGGTCGTTAGCTCCCCTTTGCGCGAGAGGTGGAGAACGAAGAGGAGGGGTTTTGTGGCTGGCTCTCTTCGCGCGAGGGGAGCAGAAACAGTAGGAGGTTTTGGTCGTTAGCTACCCCTGCTTGTTGCAGGTGTGTTCGTGTTTTGACCCCGTAGACATCTCCAGCGGGACGAAGCCGAAGAGTGGGCGCCGGGCTTTCAGCCCATTGCGCGCGCACACTATAGCATGGATGCGAAGATTCAGAGCAGTCCACGACCTCAGCAGGGGCCGAGGCCATCGTGCGGCCGACGAGTGGTTGCAGGCAAACGGCAGCTATCGGACGACAGCAAGAATTCCGTCAGGAAACTTCTTAAGAGGGAGATTAGTCGCAGTGGGAACTGGTCATTTAACAGAACAAGCTCGCAAGAGAAATTTCGAAATTTCCGTCTCCAGGTGAGAGAATCTCTAGCAAGTCCTCTCTTTCCATGTTCTATCTATCGTTCAAGTGGCTTCCACCGACAATCCTTCCCTGTCTGTCACATGTGTTCCCTCTTCCTCCCCCAACTCCATGTGTGTCGTCCTCCTCTTCTCTGTGCCCCTCCCTCTTTCCTGTACTACTTCCTCCCTCATCCCCCGGCGGTTCCCCTCTGACTGCCTGTGGGCTTTGTGGCTCCTGCATGTGTCTGTCACTCTCCCTTTCCTCCGTGTCTCTCTCCCCTCGTTCATTCATCACTGCTCCTTCTGGGATTATTACCCGTTTACCCCTCTGTTTCCGTTCCAATTTTCACCAAAGTGGCCCTGCATCTCTCTTCATGCATCCCCTTTTCTCTCTTTATGCTCTCTTATTTCAATCTCTTTTTTTTTTTTTTTTTTTTGATCTCCATCTCTCTACATGGCTTTGTGCTTTTTGGTGTTTGTCCTTGTCTACCCCCGCCCCACAATGATGTTTGCGCTACCTTTGGAGGGGGGTTAGGGGGTGTCAGGTGGTATCATATCTCGCTCTGATCGTTCCTTTCATTTCCGACGGTTGGGGAATGACTGCTGTCTCTCTCTCTCTCAGTTGCTTGCTCGCTTCACTGGTTTGTTGGTTGGCTGATGACTCATTGCGTCTGTTTTTTTGGTCTTTTTTTTTTGGAACTGTTTTATATCGGAATTACTTCATTGGTTTTAAACTACTTTTCGTGATGCATTCCTTCTCGTCCCGGAACACAATCACATCATTTGTGTGTGAACAACCCCCTCATGTGAAGTGATTGTGCGTGGATACATTTGGGTTGTTGGCATATTGCGCATTTTCTGCTGGCACCCATCACATCACATCAGGGTTCGTTCTGAACTACTGACGGGTAAGAATAACAGAACATTAACATCTTCTTTTTCTTCTGTAGTCAACAATGACGGCTTACGTATGGGTTGGGCAGACTGAGTTTTTTAATATTTATTGTAGTACATTGCCCGAAATAAAAGTGTTTTGACATAAGTACCTTACTCTTGCAAATATTGATTTTCACTGTTTAAAAAATGAAAATTTGATCGAAGGTAGTTTTTTGAACTCTGCTTTTGACAGATTCAAATATTCAGAAGCATTAAAAAATATATATATATCCAGAAGCATACTACTTTTTGGTTGGCGGGAAAAGTTCTTAAAACGCCCTGGATTACAACGTTTTGCGCCTGTGTCCCAAGTGAATCTCTGGACCTTACACTAGGAAATTCAGCGGCTGGAAAGAGAAAAGGGGAAACCGGGGTTTGGGGAAGAGGGAAGGGAAGAGGGGAGGAGGGGGGTGGGAGAGGGGAGGGAAGGGGTCTTTAGTGGCAAATCGCTCGCGCGTGCTATTGTCATGCTCCTGCAAGTCTGTCCACACATGTAGTTTCTGGATTGGGATTGGCTCACCTGCTGTGGAGGTGGTATGGGAGTCGACACAAGGGAGGAGGTATGGTATGTACATGTGTACTGTCACACAACTGTCTTTTGTGTCTCTCTCTCTCTCTTTTCGTGTAATGTCACTTAACTGACAGAACTGAAAAGGTTCTTGGTCAGTTTTTTTGTTTTTTTTTGTCGCTTGGTCAGGTTGTTCCGTCGGAGGTTCAATGGTTCTATATATGCATACATACGTTAGTGATGTCTTCAAGTCGTTCTTCTATTTACCATGTTAATCACCGGGTGCTTGTTGACTGGATTGTTATATGCTTCTTCTCCCACTCTCTCTCTCCACCAGTCTCTCTTTTCCTCACTCACTCGCAAGTTCTTTCTCCTATACCGCTATTCAACTTTCCTTGCGGTCATGCAGCGCATGTCTGCGTGCTATTTCTTATCTCTCTCTCTCTCTCTCTGTGTTTCTGTTCTCTAACAGACGAAGGAACACATCTCTCTGCCGTCGCATCCAGGTCGAAGCGGTTTGCATGAAACTGCTTCCCTCCTTCCCCCGGCCCCTCTGCCTCTGTCGCCTCGCTTTTGCCGTTCCCCGTTTCCCGAACCTGTCGACTGCTCTGTACTTAGTCAGGTTTAATGGTGATGGTGCTAATGATAATGATGATACCTGATGATGATGGGGATGGTGGTGTTTATGATAATCCTGATGATGCTAATGACGATAATCATAAGGATGATGATGTTTATGGAGCACAACTACAATGATATGGGACGGTTATGATGGGCCCCTGCAATAGCGTGTCTTCATGGGTGCGGGCTTACTCTTGATCTTCCACGCGCGGGCGTGCGCTCACACACACACACACACGCACACACACACACACAAACCACCACCCCTCCCACCCTTTTACCATTCTTATGGAGGATGTGAGTCGTCCGAAGATGACGAAAAGGAACTCTGAACAGATTCAAATAATCCGACCCCCTCCTGTGTCACATGCTTGGAGCTGTCACGGCAATGGTAAGGGTGAATTATTCACTGGCGACTAAGTTTTCACGAGAGGGTTATCTTTGACGGGAGGGTTTAATTGTCACTGCGGGGGTTAATCAATCGTTGAAAGGGTGGATTTGTGAGTGGGGACACCATGTCGCAGCCGAAGATTGTTGCTGTATTACCGCAGGATTAATAAGTTTAACTGAACGGGAGTAATCGGTTAAACTGAAAGGTTAATCTGTCACTGGGGAGACACGACCGATGATGTGTTCAAAGGAAGGTTCATCTGTTACTACTGCGAAACTTTGGACGAGTGACGGACTTGCAAAATTGTCTGGACAGGGGAGTAGTCCCTTTTCAGAAGAGAAATGGAAAATCAACTGGAATTCTTTCTTTCTGTCGGACTTGTATGTTTAGATGTTTAGACACGGGAGTCCCTTTTCTGGAAAAGAAAAAAGGAAATCAACTGGAAATTCTTGCCTCCTGGCGGACAGGTATGGTAAAAGTTAGTGTGTGCGGTTGAGTCGCTTGTTTTATTTTTCATCGTTTCTCCTTTCTTCATGCTTTCTCCTTTCTCTGTGCTCGCCTTCGAACTTCGTCGAAGCGCTTGCGTGTCAATTTGCTGCAGCCGCATCTGTGGGGAAGGTTGGCTTCTGAATTGAGATAGTAATCAACTAATTAATCAAGCAATCCGCTTGATTGGTTGCTTGTTGCCGAGGGTTGTCTCAAAGTGATTGTTGGGTCAAACCCCACTTCTTAGCATGGAGTTGATGTACGGTTTTTTCGCTCGCCAATCCGTACAGAAAGTGGGGTGACCCCATGCGATGGTTAATCAATCCGGTATGCCCGCTGCCTGGGCCAGCCCTCTCTGCTTGGTGGACCTACCCATCGCGGGAGTCGAGTAGGAGGGCGTAATGACGAATTGTGCTATTTCAACGAAATGGTAAAGCCTGCCTTACAACGGGTTGGCGTACACATCTGATGCGCTGTAAGTATGGGTTCACGAGTGACAGTTGGAACGCCCCTGCGCTCGCATGCACACACTCTCTGTGTGTGTGTGTGTGTGTGTGTGTGTGTGTGTGTGTGTGTGTGTGTGTGTGTGTGNGAGAGAGAGAGAGAGAGAGAGAGAGAGAGAGAGAGAGAGAGAGAGAGAGAGAGAGAGAGAATGTTACCAGTCATGGACGCGGTTGATGACAGTCTTCCATCCAGCAGTCTTTCTGTTGACCGAGGAATCACTCTGTGATTGAAAAGCAATCATTGGCAACAAGTGAATGAAATCATTGATCAAGTATTCAATGTGTCCCATCGAGCAACCAAGCCAACTGCCAATCAAATCAATATTGCCCTTCAAGCAATCATTCCGGCGATCGAGCAAGTGGTTTGTTTATCAGCCCAGCAGCCAATCAGTCCATCCATCCAACAGGCAGTCAATCAATCAATCAATGAATCAATCAAACAGTCAATCAAACAGTCAAGCAGTCAATCGGTCAATCAGTATATCAATGAATCGATGAATCAACCAATTGAAAATCAGCCAATCAGAAATCAACCAATCAAAAGCAGCCAATCACCGAACCAGTCCATCAATCAATCGATGCAATGCATGAATGGATCGATCAACCTGCCTTAGAATGCATTGGTCTCCGAATGCCTCCATCCAATCAGCGGTCCTTTCATCAACTAATTAACCATGTTAATATCAGGGCTTGCGCGCTGGGGGCATTTGAAGCTGGTGAGAAACGTAATAAGATCGAGTGCAAGAAGACATTTTGAGTAGACAGGCAAAACCGAAAAACTCTTTGAGCGGTGGATGAAGGGGGCTGGGCAGGTGCAACAATCATCGATGTCTGTGCTGGGATGTCAATGAAATGACCACTAAAGGCGTTGGACCTTTCTTTGTTATGGATGTCAATGAAATGACCACTAAAGGCGTTGGACCTTTCTTTGTTATGGATTTCACATAGTCTAATGCAACCTCTTATCTGTCGGGTTGACGCGCCTCCCATCGGCCCTCTGTTTGATATCTTGTGTTTAGTAGTCGCTCTCTACACGGTGCTCGAGGCGCTCCACTACTCACACGAGAGAGAGAGAGAGAGAGAGAGAGAGAGAGAGAGAGAGAGAGAGAGAGAGAGAGAGAGAGAGATTTTGCATGTCGCCTGTAAAATCTAGCACGCCTGTAAAATCTAGCACGTTTGCGATTGGTGTGTCGTCTTTTTTTGTTGAACTTTTCTGTTTTCTGATGGCCTGGCAGGAGGAATTTGTTTGTGATTGGTGTGTCGTCTTTTTTTGTTGAACTTTTCTGTTTTCTGATGGCCTGGCAGGAGGAATTTGACACACACGACCCGAAAGCACACCAGTTCTTGAAGCTGCCGTTCTTGAAGAAAAGGTCGCGAATTGTGGAAATCGTAGCTGCTCGCGATATAGTATTTGCTCTTGCTCATTCTGGAGTATGCGCTGCTTTTAGCAGAGGTAAGGAGCAAGGGGTTCGGTAGAAGGGGGTATTTTAAAGGGAAAGGGAACATAGGGGATGTTCCTACGATGCTAATCCGGGATCTGTTGGGAAGTTAAGAGTTATGCATTGTGAGAAGCGTCTGCCGTATAGAATGGGGCTGGGTGAGACTGAAGGACATTTGCTACTCTGTTTCATCAACTTAGCTTGCTTCCCTTTGTGTCTAGCTTTCCTGGTCTCTCTCGATCGCCTACCAACCACTCTACTGCCTTGTCCCGCAATAGTCATCTCTCTCTGTCTTTCTTTCTCTCCGTCTCTCTGCGTCTCTTTCCGTCTACCTGTCTCTATCTTTCTCTCTCCCCTTCCCCCCTCCTGGCCCTCCTGCCCCTCCACCCCCCCTCCTCCCCCTCCTCTCACCCTTCCCCAGACACACACACACACACACGTTCCAACTCGACCTGCATTGTTCCAACTCGACTTTGGAACGTTCCCTCTGTGACCTCCCTTCCACTTGTCCCCTTCCTCCTTCCCCTTCTCTCCTTTTTACGGTAGCCCCCGTTGCTGTGTGCTCATCTTTTTTGCTACACACTCGTTTTGCTTCACAGGCGTTTCCCCAGCGTTCCTCCCACAATTCCATTTTCTGTGACACCCTGTGTACTCCTGGCTGCCTTCTCTTCTCCCTACCTAACCTCCTCCAGCCGACTACTGTTTCAAGCCTCCTCCGGTTGATTTCCTCCTATCCTCTCTCTCCGAGTGTCAAGCAGATGGTGTTCCGTTTACTCATTTCTTGTTTACGTTTGTTGCTACGGGGCAACAATTGACACGAATAAGAGTTATGCAGGAACTATACGGTTTGATTGCCAAATTGGAAAGTGAGGAAGCCAGAAAAGTTTAAGTGAAAGGAAGAGGGGAAGAGGGTGTGGTTTGTAGGTAAGGGTGAAAGGGGAAAGGGGAAAAGGGAGGAAGGTGGTTTGAGATGAAATAGGTTGATGCCAAAAAAACTGCGGCCTGTGGTGGGTTGGATCACAGCGTGTTGCTGCCTCCCATTGTCATCACTGCAGTGCGGGACGGTAGAGGGTAGACAAAAGCGTAGGAAGAGACTGAAGAGAGGACAGGAACGGTGGAGGGAGAGAACCTCGAAGTGGAGAACGGAGAGCTTGAAACAGAGGCAGGAGGGGTGGTTGATTATTGCGACCGTTTTAACAGAAGAGAGGAATATCTGAATATGTTCATTTGGAGAAGAAATGCTGTAATTGCAGAACAGTAAAGGCGAACGGAAAGTTATCTGTGGACAAGTTACTGTGCGTGTGTGTGTGTGTGTGTGTGTGTGTGTGTGTGTGTGTGAGAGAGAGAGAGAGAGAGAGAGAGAGAGAGAGAGAGAGAGAGAGAGAGAGA